GTGGTGTGGCTATGGGGATTTGGAATGACTGCTGTGCGAAGGTGCACAACACTCACTGTTGTGCAGCCAAGTGGGTTAATTTTGGGATCTATTTTGATAATCTGAACCGTTCACATTTTAGTATACATTAACTAAAACATACCTGTAAAAAATCAAATTAATCGGATATCGTTTACCCTTTCATCCATTCACATTTGTATTCATTTTAATATTTTAAATTACAATTATTATTTGTTTTTGTAAATACAGATGTGAGTAGATGAATGGGTAAACGATATCCGATTAACTTGATTTTTTACAGTTACGTTCTACTTGATATATTCTAAAATTTGAACGGTTCAAATTATCTAAATAGACCCCAAAATGAATCTATTTGACTGTATAACAGTGATTGTTGTGCACTCTGTACAACAACCATCTCAAATCCGGCTACGGACCACCCTGCAGAATCAATTTATCAAGTAGTATCTGGTTGATTCGTTCAAAAAAAGAAGAAAAGTAGTATCTGGTTGATGAAAGGCATCCCGATTTCCCAAGGTAGGACCACATGATATGGTTCATGATTTGTGAGTCATATGACCCCTATTATCACTCTATGGAAATCACATGTATTATGCTTATATTCACATAAAATATGATTGAGTGATTATGCAACATGTTATGTTATGTGGTTGTGAGGAATGTTGGGTAAAATCAACAATAATCAACAACTTGTTTTTGCATTACCCACCATTGTTGTCACTTTCTTAGACTATAGACCCATTCCTAAATTAAGATATGTACGCATGTTCTTGCGTCTATCTAACTTAAATGTACACGCATACAATATTCAATCTTTTGACACAATAAACAAGGTTTATTGTCAAACACGAAGCCCTCTTTACGTTCTAGATTTCCTTCTCTTCTATAACATTCTTAAAATAAATTGTCTTCGTTGAATATAACGTGTGATAAGAATTTATAATATCTGCACATACATGATATAATATATATTGCATATTGTGAACTCATTTTTATTATGTTTAATTAGCGTACAATATACCATAATGACATGTTTGATTGGAAGGATTAAAGCATAGGATTGGGATTATTAATCCGTGGGCCCAATCATCCTATGTTTGTTTTGACATTTTAGTTTAGGATTATTAATCCAATGGATAATTAATCAAACAAATTTGTAGGATTATTAGTAATGGGGTAGGGGTGGGATAACTAATACCACACTAATTTAATAGGATTATTAATACCTCACTATTAGTGTTGTGAATCAAACATGACCTAAGATAAAAAATAAGTGACTGTTTTGTACCGTTGAATAAATGATGACTCTATATCCAATGATGAAGGTATATATAATACCATTGAAATGGTATGACGACGGTATTGGTTTGAGTGTTTTAGAGCTAACGTATAGCTTTTAGCTTTTCAAAAGTTATTTTGAACTGTTTGATTAAATTTATTTTAAACAGTTTCTGATTCTAACAATTTATTTTAACTAAAAAAAACTGATTCTGAGAAGCTGTTCACCCCTTATTTCTGATTATTGGCTTCTACTGTGGATATGCTAATTCATGGTTATACTCTTAGATTTTTTTTTTTATTTTTTATTTTTTTAAAAATAGAAAAAACCCAAATGGACTATAGATTATTATTATTATTTTTTATGAGAAACGTAGACAAATAGTGAATAACAAAAAATGAAAGTTAATTGAAAAAATTACTTTACAACTTATTCAATAAACACTACTTAGCAACTTAAATTTATAATCTAACAATTACACCAAATAAATTAATAATTTCTAATTAAAATCATAATTTATAATATGTTATGTTATAATTTATAATCTGTTTTAACAATTGTGCCAAACGGGGTGTACGTATCTCGCATTACGGAAATATAATATCAGAACTTGCCTTATACCCAGAGCCAATTTTGCAACCAAATGTGGAGCCAAACGTGGACTGAGGAACAATAAATTGCACATGGGATGCACTATATATAATCCGATAAACTTCTTGTCCCATTGTGTGATTTAAGCGTAAAATTATAATTGAATAGGAGATTAATAAATAATTAAATCATGATTTAGGATTGATTGATTGATACAATAATATTTTTAAACACCATTCTTCACAATCAGAGCAGTAACCATGCCCCAAGTAGTGTGTCGCTCCATATGACAGTGCAAGAACCATACACCTACCCAAAAAAATGATCCAAGTTATGTACTGTACATTATAAATACATATGTTCTAACACACACATGTCAATGAAATTTCACACAATAGGTCCAAGTTGTTCAATGGAAACATGGGATGAAGCTACCGTGAAAAACAAAAGTTGAACGGAAATTTTTTTTTATGTGATCAACGAAAAATAAATTTATTTAAAAAAATATATATTCTTCATTCTTAAAAGGTAGAAGATATTCTTTAGATTAAAACCTTACCAATATTACAATATTACCACCATCACTATCACATTCATCACCATATTACCATCACCACTGTCATTTGACATCATCTTTTCACCTACATTCTAGCACTGCCACTACTAAAGGGGCTTTTGGAAAATGGGTTATAATCCACTTTCCATATTAACCCACTTTTCTCTCTCACAAAAAGTTGATTATAATAAATTTTTAATCAAAAAACTGATTAAAATCATCTTTTCAAAATAACTATAAATATAAAAAAATATTTAAAAAAAAAAATCGTTAAAAAAGTTTTGAGAAATGGAGCGTAAAGTCATAATTTTTTTTAATAATTATATAATTATTTTTCTAAATAGATACACATGATTGAAGTTTTTGACTGCGTTTGATACAGCTTTCTAATTATAATTCCACCTCTTCACGTAAACAAAGTGTTTGAATAGGGTTTTTAAAAATTAATTCCACCACATATTTCAAAATATATTTATGTCTCACATTTGGCAGAGGCCATTCCAAAACAAACTCTCACATTTTCATATAGTTTTTGAATTTTTTAAGTCCATGGGACATCTCCTTGGACATCCCTCGGATGTCCGGCCGGTTGAGCACTACAGTGATTATTTTATTTTTTATTTTTTTGGTAACTCTTTTATACAGGCATAGATGCATACATGTGTATGTTATGTTGTAGACTAATTTTCTGTTAAAAGTGAATAAAAAAATTTGAATAAAATTGAATTGTTTGTGGTAAACTGTGTATATGCTAACAAAATAATATTTTAATTTTTGTTTGACTCCCACATATATAATACCTGATAATTTTTTTGGCCATTTATTTGAAAATAACAATACAATAAATCACAAATAATTTGTGACAGTAATTATTAAAAATATAAATATATTTTAACTAAAAAATATTTAAGAAAAATTCGAACCAAATATTGAATCAAAAGTTATTTTAAATCAGTAATTGAATATTTATTTTGAAAAAAATTATTGCCTTTGTAATATTTTCAATTAAAAAAATTGATTAATGTTATTTTCTGTTAATAATAAATTTTTTAAATTGAATTTTAGAAATAGTTTGCTTATTGATCAGAATTTTCGATAGAGTTTTGAGTAGTGTTTTTGGTTATGAGTTATAACAATTTGAATAAGTTTTAAAAATTCTTTTCAAAACTCATAACCAAACAAATTTTCTTATTTCACATGTCACGTCAAACATTAAAAACTCAATTCAACACTCAACTCAAAACTCAATTCAAAACTTTTTATAAAACTCAGGTGGTGTTTGGCAAGTGGTTTTGGGGCTAAAATAGCCACATAAAACAAAATAGGCTATTTTAGTCATAACAAACAAAACATCACATCCAACCCATAATCATTATACTATTCTCTCACAAAAAAATAAAAAAAGCCAAAAAGTCCTTTTCGAACCAAGCTTTTTAACCCAAAAAAGTTAAAAAATCAAAAAGTCAACCCACTTTCCAAATGGAGGCTCATAACCAAACGAATTTTCTACACTCAAATCATAATTCCAAAACTCACAAACTTAAAATATAACTTCATTTTAAAATCATATTTAAAACTCTACCAAACGCTACCTTTCATCTTCATTTTTATTTTCACTATCCCAAAAGCATCTTCAACAGTTATTCAAATTTTTAATTAAATTTAAATAAAAATTTAATTAAAAGTTTAATATGATATAATGTATTTTAATCGTTTCATTAAATTCAGTAGGTGGTTGGGCCTAATATAAATTTTCATCAAATCTCTCCCCATTCAGTGATCTACCCAGTTGTCTGATCGGTCATTTACTCAGTCTTTGATGAAAAGTTAAACGTTTCCTTAATTTGATAAAAAAATATAACTCTCTTCATTTAATATCAATGTAATAAAACGATCAAAATACTATTTTTATCAAATTTAAATTTGATAAAATATATGAGTATAGATTGGAGATGGTCCAAAAAGAAAGAAAAGATAAATTCTGGTACCGTTTGGTTTAATTTTTAAAACTTAATTCTATTTTGAAATCAAGATTTGAATCAAAATTTATAACTAAACAAAATTTTAAAATATAATTTAAAATTATTTTCAAAACTCTTTTTTTCTTTTTTATTATTATTAATCAATTAATCAATCACTTTTTTTCTCTCATCTCATCTCTTTCTTCTCACATTTTATAAATTAATCAATTAAAAAATACAAATTATTCCAAAACTATTTTCAAAACTCATATTTAAATAAATTTTCTTTTTCCAAATCATAATTTAAAAATTCAAAATTTAAAATACAACTACACACCCATTTGACAAGAGTTTTTTTTGGTTATTTTAACCATAAAAGACAAAATAGGCTATTTTAGCCACAATAAACAAAATATCACATTCAATCCATAATTATTACACTCTTCTCTCACAAAAAATCCAAAAAAATTAAAAAGCAAAAAAATTCTTCCTAAACAATTTTTTTAACCCAAACTAAAATAATAAAAAAAATCAAAAACCAACCACATTCAAAGGGAGGAGAAACCCCACGGAGCGTTGGTTTGGTGAGATATTTTCTCTCCGTTTCCTTCATTTTCTATTCCGCTTCCCTTGCTTCGTCTCTCTAGCTGAAACGTCTCTTCCAAACTTTCCAACTACTCACCATCACAAATCCTAAAACCCATCTCACCAAACTCAATAGATTTTCCAGTCCACCATGGATGTACCTCCACAATTTCTCTGGATCTTCATCTACATCTCTATGCAAAAATTATCATTTCACTCCTTGCAATGCACCACCACTTGAACTCATACCCACTGACTCTGAGCATGTCTTTTAGAGCTTCACTCTGTCATCATCTGTAATTTCTTGAACCTATCTATGCTCGGAAGAGCCTTTTTTTTTTTGTTTTTTGGTGAAAATCTATAGCTCTTCAGAGTTAGGGTTTCAAAATTCGTCGATACAAAGCTAGTCTTCCTCCTTTTGGAGTGTCCAAAAGTTAGATATAAGGTACATAATCTCTAGATCTCGTTTTGTATAAGTTTGTGTATTTATATATATACTAGCAATGTGTTCAAAAGTGATAGTATGCAAAATTTTTGATGAGTTGATAAATGAGGAAGATGGGTTGAATTTGAAAGTTGTTAGTAGTGACAAGATAGAATAGATAGACACTATATGTGTGCAATTTTACTATATCTAATTTTTTTTTAGGCGATTTGATGAATGAGAAATATGGGTTAGTTCGAAAACTGATTAGCAGTTAATTTACTAGATGTGTCATGTTTATTCATTCAGTTAGCAATTCTATGAGCATTTTTGAAAATCCAAATTGCGTGACAAAGCTTCAAAAATTGAGTTGTGGGCTTTATATAATGGAATAGATGTGAATACAGTTAGCTTCCAAGTTCAACTATAATTGCTCTGGGCTTCCGAAATAGATAGATTTGAAAGTTTTGTGTGTATTTATATACATGTTTGGTATAGTTTTCTCTGGGAGTGTGTATTAGCTGATGAGTTCTTGGAGGATTGAATTGGTGAATTAATTGACAATTTGGTTAACTGGGAATTATCTGATTTTGAAATTCTTGGATCACCCAGGTTATAGGATTGTGTTTGTGACAATGTTTTGCTGATTGTTATCGATGGCTCTTGGCAAACCTTATATTTAATTGCAAAGCTTATTCAATACTCAAAATGTCATGTGGATTCTGGATACGTGTACAGAGATTTCTTTTCACAGATGATGACAAAGATTTGCTTGTCATAATATGGGAATGTTTTGTCATCCCAACAATTGAGGACACTGTGGTATGGAGATCCTTCTTTTAAGCAGTGGGTTTATTGAAGTTTTGGAAAGTGTATGAATTTGTGAGTGTGTAATAGGAGATTAAAATTAAAATGACAGTGATTATAAAAGATGCACCGAGGCATTTATACACTGATTTTGGCTCATACTCTCTAACGATAATTGCTAATCATCCTTCACCATACTCTTATAAATTATGATGGTTAGTTCTATGAATTGTCCACTATAGATGAAGTTTCCTGACAACCTTATGTACTCACTCATCATTATGTGCAAGTGTAAATTTGCTGCATTTATCTTTGGTTCATGGAATAGCAATTCTAGGCTGCTAGCTCAATCAAAGAAAACTCCATGAGCTTATTTGGATTGCTCTTTTGGTGGAAGTGGACGCACAATCTAGCTACCTATCATGTGTGATCACACTAATAACATGCATCCCTACAATCACAAACACTGTTTTGCTCATCACTACCGCAATGTTCACATTGCCTTTGGGCTTCCCCTGTTTATCACATCTCTCTTCACCCACCTTTGAAGTATCTATAATAGACAATATTACAATCTGAGTCTTAATCTAAGTGTTAGCACCCTATGCATGTTGTTATGGTTTGTGCTCATGAATTATCATGGCTACTGTATAGATTTTGCTGAGGTTTATGCATGGAAATTTTAAATTAAACAGATAGAACACATGAAAGCATTAGAATCTGTACTGTACATCATGTTTCCAGTCAGTTCATCAGGTCAATGAAGACAAATAATGCATGATGTTTTCTTAGTCCTATGCTGTACTTGGCATTAAGTCTTGTTTCACTCTTAATCGATTTCATATTCTACGTGGTTAAATTTTATATTGGTGATGTTCTCTTTCCAGGTAAAACTACCACAACTTATTAAGTGTGATAAGGTTAGCAGCAAACATTTAAACCTTGGTGAATTTGATGACCATAGCCATAGTCTGCAAGATACCAGAGATTAATGAGGAGATGCAATCAGCTTGCATTCAACTGAAATGAAGAACGTGCAGGTTCTGATGTTAGGACTTTAACAAAACTCATTTAGCCTTTATGAAAATCTATCTTTTTGTTTTCTCATATTTGTTTGATAATTTCTTATATCATCAAAATCATATATAATATGGTTTCGTTGACTTTAGAGCTTATTTGTAGTTTTCCATCCAACTTCCTAAACATTTCTCTTTCTTTTTCTTTTTTTTTTCTATTTATTTATTCTGAATGTGATTTGTTTGTTGTAATTCTAATCAAAATTATGAAATTTCACAGGATCCGCAAAATACACCGGAAATACAATCCTCAACCCAGGTTTCTCATGAGTCCCAAGCTGACCAACAGAATAGTGCAACAGAGGCTCCTGTAGGAGACTCGGGTTCAATTTCTACTCCAAGCCATGATAATAGGAAAGTTTCTCGGGAAGATATTGAACTTGTAAGCCAGTCTGGTCCTTCAATTGATAGGTTTTTCTTTTTTTATATTAATTCCCACCCACTGTCACATGACATGTTTTTTTATTTTCAAACTTAAATGATTGGTTTGTTGCAGGTCCAGAACTTGATAGAACGGTGTCTACAGTTGTATATGAATAGAGATGAAGTGGTAAAAACCCTATTGAATCGTGCAAGGATAGATCCTGGATTTACAACTTTGGGTAAGCATCTTCAAACCTCTGGAAAAGTTTTTCGTAGTTATCACTTCTTATCATTTTGCAATTTTCTAACTGGTACTTTGGTTGCTCATCAATTTATGCTGTTGTATGAATTTTTCATCCAATCTATTGAAGATGATTTTGTAGTCCATGAATTTCAAACAGATTTTATATTATAACTTATAACAGACTAGATATGTTAGTTCTGATTTTTATGGCTTAAAGATAAAAAAGACCTTTCGAACTAATTTAGTTTATTTTTTTGCGTAATCATCTTTTAGCAGTCATTTAACTGTAGCTATTTATTTTCTTACTTTTCAACTGATCATTTTGTTTGTTAATTCAGTATGGCAGAAGTTAGAAGAAGAAAATGCTGACTTTTTCAGGGCCTATTACATAAGGCTAAAATTGAAGAAACAAATTATCATGTTCAATCATTTGCTTGAGCACCAGTATCATCTAATGAAGTATCCTGTACCTCCAAAGGTTCCTTTGGCTCCGATACAGAATGGTATTCATCCCATGGCAGGTGAATTCTCACTTTCATTGCTGTTGCCTTAAAAACACAAAATACAACTATTGTAAGAATAGAACAGGAATTGTGGTTGATGTGGGTACTCTGCACTTATTGAAGTGTCTGTGTAACTACCATATGAAGATTATAGAGTTACACCAGAATAAAGGTAGGTTAGTTTGATAGAATGATATACAAGCATGGTTGTGTTGTGTTGGTGTCCTGTCCTTGTATAATTTATTGTCATCATTGTTTAATACCATGCATTTGCAGTGCAGTTAACAACTTACCCATGGGATATCCTGTCCTACAGCAACCACCAGTTCCAGCTACAGGTCAACCTCATCTTGATTCCATGAGCTGCGGAATATCTAGCTGCCATGTTGTTGATGGAGTGCCTGCACCAAACAATTTTCATCCCATTCGGATGAATTCTGGAAACGAGTGAGAATTATTTCTGATCTTCACCTCATTTTCTTTTTGTTTCTCCGTTAAATAGTTAACACAACCATGTCACAAAGGCATGTTTCTTCCCTGTTCCCCATTACTTTTCCCCCCCTTCCTCTAACTGATCACATATTCTTATGTATGATTGTATAGACATATTTCCATTTGTGTATATCCATGAAGCACGAGTACGGATACGAGTACTGGTACAAGTACGGTACGGGTAAATCAATACAGTAAAATTAAAAGAAAAAACAGGGTACAGGTACGGGTAAAGCTTGGTACGCTTGTAAAAAAATATTTATTTTTAATTGAGAGTAATGCAAAATTAATTAAATGGTTTAATTTGTTAAGGTTCAACCTACAATTAACATTTAATGCCAAAAGTAAAGATATAAATCAAAATTAAATGTCAATATATTAAATAACTTACAAATCATAGTTTAATTTAAAATCATGCTAAGCATAAAACAAAAAATAAAAAAGAAGTCTAGTGAAAGGAGTTTTATTTATGTAGTAGAAGAAAATATTATTTCAACTAAGGTATGGTGCAGCTTGGCTTGGGTATATATTAGGTACATCTAGGTACGCCAAAAATTAAGAGAAAAAAAAATTTGATTACGTGTTTCGTGTATCTGGCACGTATACAAAAGCATCATATGAGGTATCATACACTGGTAAGTACCCGGTACGGGTACGACATGTTTTTCGAAGTACTCATGCTGCCTCTAGGCAATCATTGTATTTTTGGAGCCCATGCTTTTTGTTAGCATGACAAAGGATTTAAAAAAAATAAAAAATAAATAAAATTTGCTTGTTTTCAGTTAGAATTGTAGAAATTCATGATGCCATCAGTAGTGGGGCTTACTATTATCCTGTCACTGCACAATGGCATTAGCTTGTGTTATTGTCTGTGGTCAAACTGTTACTATCTTAATGTAAAGTAATTCTATTTTTCCTTTTATCATCATGCAATGTAATTTACTAGAAATTATGCTCATGGATGTTTCTCTTTCCTCTGTTGAAGGATGGTGATGGGCAGCAGCGCAGCTGATGTGCCGCCTGTTGTTCCACCAGGCAGTGCTGTGTCATCCATGTCAGACATGGCTGTGAGTCCTCCATCAGTGGCATCTACTGGGCATTTTCCCTTTACTGCATCGGAGATATCGGGAATGGGAGTAGACACATCAGCGCTTGACACAGCATTTACTTCTGATGTGGCAAGTTCTGTAGGATTGCAGCTTCCACCAGATACTGGGGCTGGGAATTCTAGGGATTCCCTCAGATCATTGGCTCAGATTCCTTGGAATTTTAGCCTTTCAGATCTGACTGCAGATTTGTCAAACTTGGGAGGTAATTTGGAACATTTTCAACTGTTATATAACTATGTACTGCAAGTTGTAATTGTGTGGTTCATTTTTTGAAAACTGCTTCTGAATTTATTTATTTTTTGGTGTTTAGTGAGCTTTTTCACATTTTGCTCATTTTTTCAAAAATAAAAAATAAAAGAAATTAGATGCACCTAATCTAGTAGATTCATCTAAAAAGTTAAATATTTGTGAAGAAATCTGAAAAGGTTCACTAAAGACAAAGAAATACATAAATGTGTTGGAATTTTTATTTTTCTTTGTCTCTAGTGTACTCTTTTCTTTTTCTTTTTTTTTTCCCCAAAAATATTTTACTTTTTAGGTTGCATTTAAAAAAAAATTAAAAAAAAAACTAAAATATAGAATAAAATTCATTAAAGACAAAAAAATGATAAATAAAAAATTCAAAAACTGTGTTTGAGTTATGAACCAAACAGGGTGATTGTTTGGGTTTCAAGTGCTAAATGAGTAGACTTGATTCAGTTTCTGTAAAACTGTATTCTACTAGCTTAGCAAAACTGCAAAGTCTACTAAGAATTAACTGTAACCGTAGGCAAATATTGTAACGGTTGTCAGTGTACAATTGTTTGCATGTCCAGTTAATTGGGCATTCTATCAATAGACGTAAATTAAAATTGAAGACTATTGGGGGAACCAAAAATCTTTTCCAGAAGTAAATGCCTTTTTCCCAAAAAGATTGGAGTGTCAGCAAAAGTGCAACACTGTTATCTGTAATTATTGGCATCAATAAAAAATATAATGTGTGCCTACCACCACCTGTCTCTTGTTGTTAGACATGCAGTCATTGAGAAGTTGTCTGATCTATTGCTTATTTGTGTGTGTATATATATGTATAGAGAGGATCTAGCTCCTTTTTCTAAGTAATCTTGTTCTAGCCCTCTCAAATGACATACTGGTGGTTTTAATATGGGCATGATCCTTTTAAACCTTTTTGGTTTGCTTAATTATGGGCATAGATTTCTTGTCTACTTTATTTTGATTGATTCTCATGTTTCATATGGATTTTTTTTAAGTGCTTTGGTTAATTGTACCTCTCACCTTGAAATTGCTTACAGATCTAGGAGCCTTGGGAAATTATCCTGGTTCTCCCTTTTTGCCTTCTGATTCAGATATTTTACTTGATTCTCCAGACCATGAGGGTATAGGTATGCACAATCATTTCTCTTGCTTCGGTTTTTGCAGCATTTGACTGGAAATGACAAAACATATATGGGAATGCATGCTAGCTTTCCATTTGTGTAGATGTGTATAGCTCTTCTATTTGAAATAAATGGTTAGATTCAAAGGTAGTAGTGGCAGCCAAAGAACCTAATGTTCAAACTACTTAGGTTTGGGTATTTCAAATTCATACTAAAGCAAAAGAAAATAGAACATTATCTCTTGGAAGAATGATATGCAAATTAATTGCAAAAGTTCAATAACGAAAATTTTAGATGGCCCTTTGCTCTAAAGCTGTATATAATTAGATGGGCTGTGATGGATGTGGTAGTAAAAAAGATGAGAAATTATTGAATTTAGTTGATGTAGTCCTTGTCAGAGCAGAATAGCAAAAAAAGATTCATGTAAGCTGACCTGACCCCACCTGAGTGGGACATAAGGCTTAGTTTGGTTTGGTTATCGTTGAACTCCTTTCTCTGAAATTTCTAAAACAATGTAATTATAATTTGAATGTGCCTCTCCTTCCCCCTCCATTATGTGATTGTTCTTACACTCGGCTTGTTCTTTGTTTCAGTGGAGGAGTTCTTTGTTGATTCAGTCCCTGGGCCTCCAGGCTCTCAATCTGATGAAGAGAATCTAGGTTAAGGTAAGGCCTACCAATTTCTTTTAATTATTTAGGATAGGGCAAGTTTATTGTACAATAAAAATGGAGAAGAAACTGTTGACATTTACATATGTTAGTTAGGCATTCAGGGTTTAGTTATTTACTTGAGCTTTTGAGGCTTAGTAATGTAGTGGGATCTATATTTGCTTAGTACGAAGCAGTTGTTATATTAGTTCCATTTCTCACAATCGTTAGCATAATGATTGGATATCGAACATCATCATTTGGAATGCTTGACAGTCTTATTATGTAATCTTGTATCTATCTCTGTCACGACTCCTTCGAGGCTAGAGGTAGGTGTTCTCTCTGCGGTACATTGATGGGATTTCCGCATTTGTAAATTTGCTATTTGAGAGAGAATTGAACATCTTGTTGCCTGTAAGTGTCGGTTCTTTCCATTTTGGCTTATGTTTACTTTGTTAGGAAGCAACTAAACTCGTCAGGGCTCTGTTTGGTTGATTTTTCTGAATTTATTTCTGAATTATTTTTGTTGAAAAAATTTAAAATTAGTTTGACATCAAACACTTAAAAAGGGTACTTTTTATTTTTCAGTAGTTAGCTGTGTCTCAAAAAAGAAAAAAAATCATATGAAATAATGAGTTTTCATTTCTTTGTGTGTTTTTGTTTCTAAAAATGTGGCAATAGTATAATCTTGTGTTTGGATCATGGATTTGGAAAGATAAAGATAAATAGAGAAGAGTGATGATTTAGAGCACTAAATTTGAAGCTCTAAAAACACAACTAATGAGGTGGCAATGCGAAGAAAAAAAAAAAAAACAAAGACTAAACTATCCTATCACATTAGTGGTGGGTCCACATGATGCCACGTCATTAGTGGTGCATTAGTGGTGCTAAATTAGTGGGTACGAAGCATTTTTCAATAGAGAAACAATTTAGTTTATATTTTATTCATGTCTTATTTTTTATCTTTTTTGTTTTTCATCTTTTCAATCCTTTACCCAAATTCTCGTTTTCATTTTTTAATATTTTGGAAATGTTTGTATATACTAAATAAGTTTTTTGTTTTTATTTTTTGAAAGGCCAAAAACAGAAACTAAAAAACTAAAAATCAAAAAGGCCAAAAACAGAAACTGAAAAACAAAATCAAAAATGTGTATTATTTGTTTTCAGGAAATTGACAATATGAGCAAACAAATACTATTTGACACACAGAGATGGGCTTTATGATTTTGTAGTAAGTGATCGGAGAACATAAAAAATGTAATGATTTGTGATTTTGTATTAAGTGGTGGGAGAACGTAAAAAAATGTAATGATTTGTGACAGAAGGGTTATGTCGATTGGTAAAAAATTGTGAGATTTATGATTTTATATTAGATGATAATAATTTTCCTTAGATGGAAAGATTTCAAAGGTTGGATGGTTACTTTGATTGTGGTATTATTGCAATGAATTGAAGGTTCATGGAAAATGGGCTCACATGATTGGATTTTACAATAGGTGGTGAAGTGGAACCATCATATGTCTATCATATGTATGGTGCTCGTCGATATACATGTATAGACATCATAATAGAACAAGTCCACTTGTCTCGTTAATTATTTAATAGTCTAAAAATATTATAATTATTTAGTAATCTTAGAATATTATTAGACATTATTTATGTAGTGTTCAAAATTAATCATTTAATAAATAAGTTCATAAGTCAATTTGTTAAGTAGTTAAAAGGTAAATAGTGATCTATTTAACGTGTGTTGTGATTTTTCGTCAACAAAAATATCATAAAGACAATTTCACATAATATTTTTAGAGTATCTAACTAATTTTCAATTTGTCTCTGGGTCATTGCATGTGAAAAAAAAGGAGACTAATCTCACATCCATCACTCTAATAAAAGGTCTAATTTTGTGCAAGTCTTACCAATAATAATGAAAATTTTTATCCTAAAGAAAAATTTATATAACAATTTGTATTTTAAATAAATTTTAAAGGAGTGTATTTATAATTTATTTAAAAAATATCAAAAGAATAATATAATAATGTCATTGTTAAATAAAAATAATTTTTTATAGATGCTTTGTTTTAAAGTGTAATATTCATATTAAGTCATATTATTCTACATATGAATATTGAAATTTTGCACAAGTCCTACTACTAATAATGAAAACTTTCTTCCTTGCCAAAAGAATTATATTAAAGAGGGTAAATTACAACACTTTTTGAGATTTCTGTTTGATATAGATCTCCTTTTATATTTGAAAAATTACATTTTCCTCATTGAAGTTTGTAATCTCATTACGAATTGCCCTTGGATGGTTGATATCATGTCCTAAATTTTTTCAAATAAGCATCTTGCCCTTTTTCTTGACATTTTCTCTTCATATCATCATGATTACATTCTACATCTTCCTATCATTAAATTATAATTGAACATATTCTTATTGAGTGATGATATACAAATATAAATTTTATATAGAATTTTCAAACGCAGTGATATAACTTAATGGTGACATTTCACTTTAAATCAAAACACCCATAAATATGATTTATATTTATAACAATATTACCATCACAACATTTTTATGATATTTTTATATATGAATATGATTTTTTATTTTTATTTCCACCATCATTTTTCTTTCTTATCTATTCAGCCACACTAATTACAGTATTAGCAAACATCGTCATTAACGTAAAATCTAACTAACCACCTAATCAAACTTGAATATATATATATATATATATATATGTTTGTACAAGAATAACAACAAAAATGTACTCCACACCATCATGGAGTTGTTAGAAATAATTTTTTGACTTTTAAATTTATATTTTTGTATTTTTAATAATTTTTAAAATATTTTAATCAATTCATTTTTTACTTTTTAGATCAATTTAATCTAGATATATTAATGTATAAAATTTGTACAAAAAAATTTATAAAAAAATTCTATTGAATATAACAAAATAAAATAATGTACTGAATTTTTATATTTTTTTGTATTTGGTAAATTTTAAAAAAAAATTACAAAATAATATATTTCTTTAGTATATCTAAATTAAGTGTATCTAAATTTTTTTTAAAAAACAATGCTTAAAATATTAAAAAAAATTCAGTAAAAATAAAAATAAAAATAATTCAATTTTTTGTTTGAGTTAAACCAAAAAAAATGATTGTTATTTCTCTTGAAATAATATGAATAAAATATTTATATTATTTTATTATTTGATATGTATAAAAGTTAAGGGACAAATATGTTATTTTAATCAGACAAGGGGATAAGTGTAATTTTTCAAATGTGAGGGGACTATATTAAACAAAGATTTTAGGGGGTGTCAGTGTAATTTACCCTTATATTTAAATAATACCATGTAGTATTGTCATTTTTGTAAATAAAATAATTTTTATGAAGGTCTTTTGTTTTTGTTTTAGGGTACTTGCACACCATATGCAACCAACACAAAAGGTGTAAGTGGAAGGTGTAAACATAAAACAGGACAGCAACAGAAAGGCGTAAGTGTAAGGTGTAAGTTGCACACTTAAGAAAAGTCATTTGTTTTAGGGTAAAGTATAGGGTTTAGATTAAATCACATCATTTTATATAAAATTATGTAATTTTGCATTAGTCTTACTATTAATAATGAAATTTTTTTTAACTTTATAAAAAAAAATAACACAAGAATAATCTGGTGGGTGTTAGAGAAGAAATGAGTGACAAAAGTTATATTAATGTGATTAAGGACATATATGAAGTGGTGACCACTATTAAATCGTCTGTTGAAGAGACAAGCAAATTTTCAATTATTGTGAGGTTACACCAATGATTAATCTTAAGTCCTTATCTTTTTGCTTTAGTTATGGATGAGTTAACGAGAAATATTCAGAATGATATGCCATGGTGTACATTTTTTGTAAATAATATCGTGCTAATGGATGAGACTAGATGAAGAGTCAATACTAAATTGGAGAATTGAAGAGAAACACTTGAATATAAAGGATTTAGGATAAGCAGAATTAAGACTTAGTACATGAAGTGTAATTTTAATAACAGTAACAATAGAAGTAGAGGAGAAGTGAAAATTGAGAATCAAAAACTATCTAAGAGTAAATATTTTCATTATTTATGATCGATTATCACAAGGATTAGGGAGATTGGAGTGGATGTGATCCATAGAATTAAGGCGGGTGGTTTAAGCGGAGGAGTGCGTCTGCGGTACTATGTGATAAACGAGTACCCATTAGACTCATTAGACTAAAATGAAAGTTTTATAGCATGGCTATTAGACCAACGATGTTGTATAGGACGAAATATTGGGCAACTAAGAAATAACATGTAAATAAGATAAATGTTATTAAGATGAGAATGTTAAGGTAAATGTGTGGTAAGACTAAAAGAGATAGAGTTAGGAATAAGTATATTTGTGAATAGATAAGAGTAGTACCGATAGAAAAATTGAAAAAGAATAGACTGAAATGGTTTAGTCATATACAACGGAAACCAACAAAGACAGTATTAAAGAGATGCGATACAGTGACGGTAGATAAAAGCGTTAAGAGAAAGGACAAACTTAGATTGACATGAGCTAATTACTTAATTTAACTAATCAAATAGTCGTTGATAGAATCAAGTTAGAAAATGAAGGATTCATATAACTAACTATTTAATAAGAGTTAAGACTTGATTTGGTATCTAATACGCTAGTCTACTTGTCAATACTACATTACAAATATATATTAGTAATAAGACTTATTACACTATACTAAAATTGTGTTTTTTTTTTTTTTTTTGTTACAGGAAAATCCTCCTACTCTTCCGCAGGTCCAAGGCAGCGCCCCTTGAGGAGATCACCAGGGTGTCCTGTTGTTCGTTCTGAGCAAGAGACTATAACCTGGAAGCTTGTCCCGACCGAGCAAGAGACTATAACCTGGAAGCTTGTCCCGACCTCCCAAGGCAAGCTCCGCTTAAGTCAGGACGACCGAGCAAGAGACTATAACTTGGAAGCTTGTCCCGACTTCCCAAGACAAGCTCCGCTTAAGTCTAACCAACTGTGCTACGCCCAGGAGATTGGTCCAAAAGAAAATTGAACCCTGGACCTAGGGGCTTAAACCCCAAACCCTTACCAAGTTGCCACCCACCCCTGGGCTAACTAAAATTGTGTTGAGAAGTAAAATGGTAAACAATGACTTAAAAGGCCTATTTGGTGAAAATTAAGAAACAGCGACTAAAAGTACATCTATTTGTACTTTTCAATAATTAATTTTTTTGGGGAACACAAAAAATAAGTCATTTCTTTTTTTTTTAACCTTTAGTGATTTTTTTTTTTTCAAAATTATACCATGTTTTTTTTTGGGTCTGTTTTTGTATAAACGAATCTAAAAATTAATTTTTTTTATAAAAATTTTCAAAAATAGAATATAAAAAACTGAAAAACTGAAAAAGTCCACTATTTTTTATTTATTTTTGTGGTCGTGAC